TCATTATGCAAATGTGCTGTTTATAAGATTGAAACCTGCAGTCAGCTGAGACAGAAGACGCCACCTGATGATGATGATGAAACGTTTCTCCCACTGAAACGTCCAGATGAACAGAATCAACCTTCTGGGATCTGCCTCCCTTAGTCTTCAGCTTCATATAATACACAGCCAGTAGGCCCTGATCACATGACTTGCTGTGCTTGGTATGGTAGAACACCGTGTGTGTGTGTGTGTGTGTGTGTGTGTGTGTGTGTGTGTGTGTGTGTGTTTGTATACACACACACACACACACACGTGTGGAAAATGTTCCTGCAGCACAGATTCCTGAAACTCTACCTGAGGTCCCTGCAGCAGCAGCCTGCCATCATAAAATAAGGAGCAGGAGGAAGATGTGTTCCCATGGCAACTGGCTCGTCTTTTCCTTCTGCAGAGCTGCTGAGAAACAGAGAAAAGGAGGAAGTGCTGATGGGGAGAAAAAAGTTATGAGGAGGCAAACAAAGTCGGGGAAGAAATATCAAAATGTTTAATTTGGGGGGAAGAAAATTGAGAGATGACATAAATCAAGACACAACAATTGAAACAGTTGTGCCTCAAGCTCAAAGTGTTCCCATAAATCACAGCAAAGCAGAATTCAGAATTAAAAAAATAATATTTTATTAAACGACACAACATTTTGCTCTGATGAACAACATAATTTATTCGTTGTACTGTACTGACTGCACATAATGAGTGGTGGTGTGGGAGGCAGAGCGACAGATCAGCTACCTGCTGATGAGCCACTAAAGAGTCCATGGTAGTAATCGTGTTATATAAAGCAGACTGAACCTTCTGATACATGTTACATTTCTGCATGTTTTGTTCTTTTGCAACATTGTAGCTCCTGTATCTTTAACATCCTGCAACAATGAGGTATAGGTCATGCACCATAGACAGGCATGGATTAAGGAGAACCTGACATGGGCAAGAGAAGATCTCATTGCATTGTGGTGATGATCTCCATAATGCGATTTAAATTGGGTAATAGGAGACTGGCCTTAGTGGAATATGTGCTCAGTTACAGCTGCTCTAGTGCATCATGGACATAAATATGGCAACAACGCTTCCACAGTTTCTGCCTCAGCTTAGAGTTTCTGCTGCTGCTTGTTGACATGCAGTCAGGTGTTACAGTTAGCCACAGCAGCTGCTTCAGGTTAGCACGCAGAATATTCCTGTTGTTGTTGCCAATTAAAAAACAAATGAACTTTTGGCTCGCTGTGCTGAGTTTAGGCTGATCTGTCGAGTTAATCAATGTGTTGTTTGGATGAGTTGGAAAATCCCGTTTTGTTTGTCTCAGATGGGTCAGTCCCGCTGGTGGGAGCAGGAGATTCCCATGGAGGGAACCATCCAGAAGGGGGAGCTCTTGACCTACAACTTAACCGAACTCATCAAACCTGAATCCTACCTGGTCCGCCTCACACCCATCACCCGCTACGGGGAAGGAGACTCCACTGAGCGCATCATCACATACAGCGGTAGGCCGTCTCGTTTTCTATCGTCCAATCAAGAGCAGGTATACAAACACTGGCTCTCAAATCTTTGTGGAGGATTTACACGCACAGCTGTTTGCAACACTGCTGCAGATCTCTGAGGTTCACATTTATGCACAGCTCAGGCTCGTGACAGTGTTTCAGGTTGGGTTGAGGTCTGAAACAAACCTCTTTCTTCCAGCTGTTCTTTAGTAGATTTGCTGCATGATCTAAATTCAGCAACTCTACATGTGCTTTATATTGAAGGTAAAACCCTAAAATACAAAGAAAGCAGAGAAAAACCCCAACAATCAACTCGATGCGTGCTGGGTGCCAGGTGCACCACCACCAGCCGTGCACCACCATGCCTGATGTTGTAGGGACATGCTGTGTTTGCCACATACGGTGATGTACATTACACAGGACATTACAGAAGTCTTACAGTTCGTTCAGATGCAGATTGGCAAACCAAAGCAGTGCTGCCATCTTCTTCTTAGAGAAACAAAGAAGCAAACCGTACTGTCTAAGGGGTTTAACATTTAACATGCTAGCTGAGGCCTGTAGAGTCTGAGATGTAGCTCTTGGTGGGGTCATTTTTCATGCGCTGCAGCCATGGAGGCAGTTACGTCATACAGGACTTTTCCTGCTCATCCCTGCCATACAGTCATGCTTCAGATGTGCATGAAGTTGGCCGTGGTGTTTCAGTGTCCAACGATAGAAGATACGTGATTATAAACGCAGCATTAGAAACAGACCCACAGCTATCAGCACAGACACAAACTCTTTCTGATTACAGTCAGCTGCAGACCTGCTGTGTTTCTCAGGGGAAAATAAATGTTCATGTTTGATAAGTTTACTGTCAGAGAAAGATGTAAGAAAAGGACAGGAACAGGAGAGAGGATTGCTGCTCTGATAGTACGTAAATCAAATGTATTTATGAAGCACACATAAATATCAAAAAGTGCTTCACAATAAAACAATAAAACCACAAATGTAAATATAAAACAATGAAAGTTGATAAACCTGAAATTGAAAGCTAACCTCTCGTTACATTACTCTGGGCGTTTCATTATGTGCTGTCTGCTTATTTCACATTGAGAAACGCCTTTGACAATAAATTCAATGTTGACGACCTGACAGTGATAAACACGTTGCACTGGTGGGTCAGCTTTGTGTCGTCACGTTTATCTCCTGAGCAGAGAGGCGGAGCTCAGCTCAGCACTCACAGGATTCTGAATTCAGCAGTGATGGCGTCTGAAGTGTGATGTGTAGGCAAAGAGAGAAACTCTTTCATGTGGTTCAGCGACACAGGATGGAGATCATGCTTCAACAAAGTGGCCTCATGCTTTGGAAGATGGCTGCTGAGTAACTGAGGGACTCATCTATTAGAGTTTGGCGAGATTATACAAAGTTCACCATGACATTAGCTTTAAAGTGGCTGTAGGTTAGAAAGCAGTCATAGTCATTACTGTGGCTTATTAGGCGATTACCCCCCTGCTGCCCTGATGTATGCTAAAGGTTAGGGTTCCCTGCCCCCCACACCGCAGGCAGGCAACAAACGCTACTCACATGTCTTTTCCTCCTTATCTATAAGCTTATAGTTGGAGCTGGAACAGGTGACCCTTAGCCTGACCCTTATTCCAGCATAACAGCTGCTGGGCATTTTTTCACTCGTGTCTTTTCACTTCCTGTTTGTCTGTACACCAACATGTATTTAATCATTAATATTGTTTGGACTCTGGCCTTCTCTCCTTTTCTATTTTAAGCCACTGATGAAACAGCCTGTAAAGTGATGTCAGGAAGCTTCACAGGGCAGCTTAAATGCCTCCAATGTTAAATAATAATTTATATCTGTGTTGAATGACTTAAGATAACAAGACCTTTAGCTGAAAAGTTAACACTTCAGCTAAAAGTGCAAACAGTTGAAGTGTCACAGAAATCCTGGTGGAGTCAAATAAAACACAAAAACACGAGTGGAGTAAAATCAGGCTGACAGAGAAACAACCTGCTCACAGCAGGAGACACTGATGCACAAGTAAACATGACCTAGTCTGCTGCGTGATGAGGACTTCTGACTGTCAGTGAACATCCTGCCACCTCCAGATCACGATTTTACCTCCAACCATGATGGTAACTGCACGTTGTAATAATAATAATAATAA